AAACGTGTTCACGCTTTATATTAGGTTTTAATAGCGGGATATGAACGTGTTCACGCTTATATTTGCTACTGGGAAACGATATAAACGTGTTCACGCTTATGTACGGTGGCTATAGGAGGGATAAAACGTGTTCACGCTTTATATTAGGTTTAAATAGCAGGATATGAACGTGTTCACGCTTATATTTGCTACTGGGAAAGGATATAAACATGTTCACGCTTATGTACGGTGGCTATAGGAGGGATAAAACGTGTTCACGCTTTATATGAGGTTTTAATAGCAGGATATGAACGTGTTCACGCTTATATTTGCTACTGGGAAAGGATATAAACGTGTTCACGCTTATATACGGTGGCTGTAGGAGGGATATACAAATCAAAGGAAAATTTGTTATGTAAGTCTCTGTTTATACTTAGCTCTGCAACCGACTTTGTATGTTGTGTTTGACTGTCCAAGTTCCTGGTACGTTCTCTTGTCTTCGAAAGTTGATAACGAGCCTCTGTCTGCTTCTGAACACTTTGCGTGTTGATCACTGACTGACTTCTTCTAAGTAAATGGGTCTTCTTATATAAGCATCAGATCAAACTTTAACGTAGCGCAAAGCTTAGTTTACAGCTGGCTTGGATTTTTGACGTCGTTGCTGTTTTGCGCTTTCGCCGTAGTTAATATGCGCGCGCATCAATTTTAACACAAAGCTCTTTGCACAAAAGCTTTTTTTTTGACGTTTCTTGTGTTGTGCATTTGTTTTGTTTTGAAACGTGTTTAGCTTAGTGTCGGTAGTGGCGGCTTTAAATATTTATATTTATTTATTAAAATAAAATAAATATTAAAAATATTAAAAGTACAAGTTTAAATAATAAATAAATAAAGTAGGTACAATATTTATTTATTTGAATATATTTTGCATTCTTTTAAATTTTCAATGTAATCTCAGGTTTTATTCAACTGGTGCAGTTACGTGCATGCGGGGGTGGGTTAATGGTAAGTTATTTACTTTTAAAATATTATATAAAAATTAATCAATTTTTATTTCAGGTATTAACTGCACACTAGTTATATGTAGGTTGGAAATTGGTAAAAATTTCCATCCTTACAGTCGTTCGGCTGTTTTTGCCGCCATATTCTCGGCAAAGATATCAATTGGGGGTAAGTTTAGTATAGCTTCTAGAGCTGCCGTCGGAGTTGTTCTTATTGCACCGGTGATGTACATCGCCGCGTGTCTTTGGACCTTTTCCAGAGGTTTTATATATGTTTTCTTTTTCACAACTGTCCACCAAACTAATATACCGTAAAGTAATATAGGTCTGACTATAGCCGTGTAGCACCAGTACATAAGACCGGGTGAGAGACCCCATGTACTTCCCAGCATCCTTTTACATGCGTATAAAGCATTTGTTGCCTTCTCTACCCGTTCTTCTACATTAGGCTTCCACGCCAGTTTGCTATCCACAATTACTCCAAGGTATTTCCTTTGAGTTTTCAGTGGCAAAAGAGTTCCGTTTAAGTTAGGTGGCGTCCATGCTGTGACCTTGTACTTTCTTGTGAAAACTATTATGTCAGTTTTTCTTGCGTTTACGCTTAAGCCAGTGTCGGTCGCCCAGTTGTAAATTGATTTGAGACCGTCGCTCATTAACGCACATAGAGTAGATAGGCATCTCCCCGTATGCAATTAGTTTCGGAGCTTTACCATCAAATTGTTTAAGAATTTATTGATTACCAGTAACCAGAGATGGGATGAAAGAATGCCTCCCTGCGGGGTTCCTCTACATGTTTCCCTAGTTATAGTTGTATCGTTCCATTCTGCCCTTATCTGTCTGCAGCTTAAAAGGCTTGCAATCCATTGATATGTGGCCGAGTCTGTACCAACATCATCTAAGCTATTTAAAATAGCTTGCGTTGATACATTATTGAAAGCACCCGCAATATCCAGAAAAACTCCTAGAGCGTATTCTTTGTAAGGCCTTTTCAATATTAGAGACAAGTGTATGGAGAGCATTCTCCGTGGATCTGCCCTTAGTATAAGCGTGTTGTGCTCTTGATAGAACTTGAGGAGCTAATTGGTCTCCTATAGGTGCTGCTAGTATTTTTTCAAAAATTTTGAGAATAAAAGAGGTAAGTCTAATTGGCCTACAATCTCTAGAGTAGAGGTGACCATTTTTTCCTACTTTCGGAATAAAATGACTCTTGCCACTCTCCAGTTTACAGGTACGTAATTATACTTCAGGCATCCTCTAAAGATATTTATCAGCCATGTTTTTATTAGGTCCGAAGCCTTTTGTATCATAGCTGGATAAATACCATCAAGTCCAGGAGATTTGTATGAGGCAAATAATTTGATTGCCCATTCCAGCCTCGCGTGCGTAACAATATTTTTTCCTGCGGAGCCTACTGTATTCCTGACCGGTTCGGTATTGCTCACAATTGCACAGCCAGGAAAGTGAGTGTTAATAAGATCTACAAGTGATTCGGTGTTAGTTTTTGTCCATTCGCCGTTTTCCTTCCTGACAAGGTTAGGCATAGTTGGGTGTTTGGATGGTAGTTTTCTAAGCCTAGCTACCTCCACCGTCTTTTCTATACCTGCGCAGAAATCCTTCCAGGAGTTTCTTTTCGCATTTCGAATGGCTTTTTTGTATTATTTAAGAATATCTCTGTACTCTTCCCAGATAACTTCACTTTCTGCTAGCTGAGCCAGCTTGAAGATTTCGCGAACGTAGCGTCTTTTTGATCCCAATTCCTTATTCCACCAAGGAGGTTGAGATCTACGTTTAGTACGCATTCGCGGGTACGCGATGTGTTAAGCTATAGTTAGGGCTCTGGTAAGTTGGTCAAGCCTAGCTTCCAGATCCACGTAAGAGTCAATTGTCGTAATTTTTTTCAGTCTCTGTTTCAAAATTTTTCGATAAAGGTCCCAATTCGTTTGTTTGGGATTTCTTACAACTTTTTTGCTTTCAAGGTACTGAAAATCTATTTGGAAACTAATATATTTGTGTTCTGAAAATGATGGTTCGTTAAGAACTTTCCATTCTATCACCTGTACATTATCTTCCGTGAAGAGTGTTATATCTAGAACGTGTTTGGAGGTCGGTCCAACATAGGTCGGTTCCTCTCCTCTATTAGCTACACTAAGCCTGCTTTGTATTATGTAATTAAAAAGAGACTCACCTCTGTCATTAATGTCAGTGCTTACCCAAAGCGCATGATGTGCGTTGGCGTCAGTACCGATTATCAGTCTTTGCTCTCCTTCGCTAGCTAAATCTACCTGCCTTTGGAGTTCTTCTGATGGTATTTCTTCCTCATGTAGCATGTAGCAAGACGCGGGAAGTATGTTCCTGTCGCCGTCAACCGCCACTACCGTTAGATCATCTGTAGAGAGAGAGTTTACAATATAAATATAACAGTTCTTACCCTTGTTACCCCATGTGGAATGAATGTGTCATAGTTTCGTGAGATTAACCCAGAGACCAGGTTGCCCGAGGCCAGCCATAGTTCCTGAATTAAAGCCACATCGTAGCCGCCCTCTTCGAGATTAAGGAGGAGCTCAGCTGAGGCAATTTTACTTCGATGGAGGTTTATTTGTAGAATCTTTAGCATGAGCTTCCGATTCTTCCCCGGGGTTGGTTTCAACATTCATCTCACCCGGTTCCTCTCCTTCGCGAAGATTGAGTGACGAGCTTAGGATTTCTCCAACACCGAGATCCTCCTCGATTTCCTCCGCAGCGAGTGTATTTGAATTCCTATCGGTCGGGTGTAGTTTCTAGGATGTAATTTTGTCCCTCGCCTTCTTTAGCACCTTTCCATCGCTTGTTGGCACATCCGGATTCTGTCGTTGTAAGAGACGAAGAGCATCCTCTGGCTTCACCACTCGAGGTATAAGAACCTTCGCTTTGGGCAAAGACGGGATATCTTTCCTGTCCACTACCTCCAAAGATGCCCCTTCCCATGGGCCTTGGAACGTTTTAACTGCCTCCCTTAACCAGTTCAGGGTAGAGTCGTCTTTACACTTCAGTAGATTTACTCCGTTGAACCAGCCGGCGCTGTCAAATGATGGCATTGGAGCGTCTGGTTCCGCGCTCATTTTGGCGAACATAGCATCTAATAGTTTCATTTCCACTATTTTCCACCTAGTTTTTACCATTTGACCCTGTGGATCACTGCGGTCGATAAGTGCCACAGTCAAGCATCACTTGGCCACTATCTCCGCCATTGTTAGTTTAGATGTAGACACTTCCTGTTCTTTTGGATCATTGGCTTTCGTCTTTTTTGTTACTGTTGCTGCCTTAGATGTGGACTCTTCCGGCCTTTTAGTAGTATCGGCTTTCGTCCTTTTCGTAGCAGTTTTATGTATAGGGGCAGCGAAAAAGGCGAAAAAGGCTCGACCTTTCTCTATCTCCTCTTTTACCCAGACTAGCCTGTCCTTCTCCTCCTTCGACAGATCATTCCGGTCTACGAGGCGAGCACAGAGTTTTATCGCAGCCTTATATCTGGATTTGGCTTTCAACCCCTCCTTATTTGGTTCAGCCCTAGGCGTACGAATGGGCTTTAGCAGCTTCCCCCGGAGAACGAAGAAGAGCTTCCTACTCAATTGTGTTGACACTAGTAACACTCTCGTGATCCGAGTCAACAGGGACTATGGCATCACTGCGTTGCATTGCATTTTTGTTTCTTAAAATTGCGCCTTTGTGACGCAAGTCTACAGGAACTTTGGCATCACTACGCTGTTATTTGGCAGTAGTAGTACAATTGCTGGAACCTGCTCCGATCCCAGCAGAGGTGCAGTCACTGGCGACGCCGTGATTATAAAATCACCGCGCCTGCCGGTGGTAGCAACTGCGACTTTCTTCATTCTTCAACTCCATTTGGTTTTTTATGGAAAAACTTACCATTTTGCATTTTTTGTCTACTGCCAGACACCTCAAAGTTATGACTTGGGAAGGGGCTCACCTGCACTGACCCTGTAGATACCACGACCACTATACATGAGACTCTTCCTTCATCTTAGCTAGACACATCACAGTTGTTGACAAGCCGCATCATGTTCCCCAGCTATAACATCCGAGAGCTTCATGAATCGAATTGCCAAAAAATGGATGACGCCCATTGCCCGGTCAGCACCCACGGGGAGGGTTTACAATGAGGATTTTCGCCGACCATTTGTGTAATTTTTGACAAAAGCTAACAACTGCACTTACTTAAAGGAAATCCTAGAATAAATGCTAATTAATGTTTTGTGTAAATACTTTTGACGCGAAAAAAATGTCTGTAAATACTTTTGACAACTAATAAGCATCAGCGCAGTTGCTTATATTTTTGTCAAATGAACAGTTATCTTTCCAATTCGTTTTTTATTTGGTTCTGTATAGATAAAACTAAGTGACAACAAAAAAATTTTTTGCAACTTAAGCTCAACAACTACAATAAAAACATGTTTTTATGTAATATGTACAAAAACTTTCGTTGTGTAAATACTTTTCACTATGGCTATATATAATAGAGGTGCCGGTGCACTTTACTATATAATATCAAATAAAATAACACAATGTATTATTATGAAAATCATGTGTTTTGGTTTAACTTCTTTATTTTTCATTAAACACAACAATAATACTACAATTACAAAAACGTTAAGTTAGGTGTTCCTTTTTGCTTGTCAACTTCATCTGCTACCGGCTGTTTGCCTTTTGGCACCAGATGGCCATGTGAACGCAACAAATTATAACTGACACTCATAGCCACAAAATTAAGCAATGCAACGTCATCTACCGTGATGTAAAAACCAAAGTACAAACAGCAACAAACTCAATGGTCCAGCGTCCATTAGTATTTAGACCGTTTTCTTAGAAGCAATAAAAAAATTCATATAATTACGTGTAAAACAAAAAATGCTCGCAAAATAATAAACATTTACAAAGTATGTTTAAAATTGTTTTAATTGATAATGTTTTAATTGATAAAGTGATATGGTTTTCTATAAAGTGGTTGTGTTTTAATGCGGTCCATGTTTTTGAAGTAATAACCGGGAAGAAGACTTTCATTTAATGGTGCATTATTAAATAAGCGAATATAAACTTGTAATAAACTCTTTAGTACTTTACTTATTGATAAAAGACTGTATAGTTATATTTTTAATTAATTAATTCGGATTTAAATTATTTTTACCGCCTCGTAAATTTATTTGCATCTTAGTGAATTCTGTGTTTTTGTTTACACAAATACATAAAACAGCTGACAGAGACAGCAATTAAAGCTTGTAAGCTCAAAAACAAAAATCAAAACCAAGTATTGTAACACGTTCAAATCAATTACACAAAATATTACTGCAAAGTGTAATTGCGTAAATTATATTGATAGAATAAAATAATACTTTTTAATTAAATATACAAATTTGTTTATTTTTTTTTAAACGTTTTGATTCATTATAATGCCAGTTGATCGTACTCCACCGAAAGATGGAGGCCAACAACAACTTAATCAAGAGCAAGAAATACAACAACAGCAAGAGCAGCAAGATAAAACACAAAAGCAAACTTTCCAAAATCAGCAGCAACGGGAACAAAAATCGAAATTATGTCAAAATTCGTTGACTTCTGTACCATCTCTATCACTTAGACCCTGGAGTGTTCAATGTAAAACTCCTAAATCCGGGAAAGATTTCGAACTTCCAAATAAACCAATCAAAGTACAAACAGGTATTGAACGATATACTGAAATAGTTAAGCAAAGACTTAGCCCCTAAAAAAACGCAAACAATCGTGACAAAATTCAAAAAGTTAACAACAATAATTATAACAACAGATTTAAAGAACTGAGTGATGAAAGTGAAAACATAGAAGAAATCAAAGAAAAAATTGTTAAACCACCGCCTATCTATCTAACAGAGAAAAAACTTAGTTATTTCACTTTCAAATTTAATAGATAAAAAAAATTTCTTTGTTGTACCTATTAAAAAGGGCATGATTAATGAAACCAAGGTACAAGTTTTAAGTGAAGATCATTTTCGAAAAGTAATTGCTGAATTAGAGATAAAACAAAACAATTTTATACCTATCAATTAAAAAGTAGTAAAGGAATAATAGTGGTCATAAAAGGCATTGATATTAAAGAAATTCACGATGCGCTTAAAGAAAAAAACTTCGAAGCAAAAAGTGTATTTAATATCTTAAATAGAGACCGTAAACCGCAACCAATGTACAAAGTTGAGCTGTATCCAAACAGAAACAAGTTGAAAAGTGGCGAAGTCCATCCTATTTATTTGCTTCGCTTTCTTTTAAACAGAAAAATACTATTTTTTTTTTTTTTTTTTTTTTATTATAAATTGTTTTATTATTATATATGATTTTAAAGAACAATAAATAAAACAAAACAAGACATAAAGCAACTAGTTATTAGATAACTAACAAGCAATTTAAATTTAAATAGATTAGGCGATTCCACGCAATAATAAATTAATTGTACTATATTTCAATGATTTAAGCCCAAAGATCGCACGGCTTTCGGCGCTTTAGACGGCGTATTGGCTCAGTTGTCGCTAGTAAATGCGCCTCAGCATTTATGTGACAACTAAGTCTATCTTGGTGTGATTTGGCTTTGGTATGAATTTCTTCCTGTACTGTTGTCACTCCAAGGTCACGATGTAAGTCAGAATTTCTCACGTACCATGGCGCGTTTGTTACACTCCGTAGCATGAAATTTTGGAATCTTTGGATGATGGAAATTTGTGTTCTGCTTGCGCAACCCCATAGCTGTATTCCATATGTCCAGATTGGCTGGAGCATTTGTTTGTATAATACAAGTTTATTGAAAAGCGATAGTTTTGATTTTTTGCCGATTAACCATTTCAACGATTTGAATTTAAGATCTAATTCACTTCTTTTCTTTTTTATGTGCTCGCTCCATCTTAGTTTAGCGTCCAAAGTCATACCCAAGTATTTCGCAGTATTCGCGTGAGGGATTTGTGCTTCATCGATGTAGACAGGTATATGACTGATGTTTCGATTTGTGAAATTTACATGCACTGATTTTTCTTTATTCAGATTAATTTTCCATTTTTTTGTCCAAGCAATTATACTGTCCATACTATTTTGCAAATTATTAGCTGCTATTACTGCGCTTTCTCCAACTGCAAGGACTGCAGTATCATCAGCAAAAGTTGCTGTGAACGTTGTTGCACTCGTTGGCAAGTCGTGTGTATAAATCAGATATAAGAGAGGACCCAAGACACTACCTTGCGGAACTCCAGCGTTAATTTTATGCAGTTTACTATAGGTATCACCGTGCTTTACTCGAAAGTAACGATCAGATAAGTAA